GGTTGGAATACATGCTCCATTTTAAAAAAGGAAAAACAACAGAATGCTAGACTTAAAGGAGATTTTTTTAACCCTACGTTTTATAAACAGACGTGGTTTGTATAAGGTTGCAACCTCAAACAACCAAAATAAGGCACATCTCAAAATTTTATCATAAGTAAATTTGGTCTCAAAAGTTCTTAGGATGGCATGGGAATCTATTTCCATCTTCAGTAGTTATAAAATTTTTAAACTACAAAAACAATTCAAATCATGTAGATCTAAACACATAAAAATCTAAAAATCTTGAAAGTGGTCGGTCCATATAATGTGTTGCAAGACGTATTTTTGAAACTCAAAATTAATTTGTTTTTTATAGCTATACATCATGATGTTGAGACGATCAACAACTTCAAAATAGCTTTTTTCGATTGATTTTTGAAATACACCTTAATTCTACAGTTTAACGTTGCAACCTTATATAAAACTTTTACTTTATAAATTATCTCATCTTTCACAATGAAAGAAAAAATAGCAAAAAAAAGAGTGAATTAATTTTGGGAAAGTGTACCAAAACATACACTTGAGATACACTAGTTTAACATTTTGCCTGCCTCTTTTACTTTAATTTCAAAATGAGTAATGATTTTATAGGACCCTCCCCCAACTATGTATGTAGGACCTCAAAGGATCATCATTAAAGTTGGCACGGATCTCTAGAAAAGTTATCACATGGGTGTGGGGCTTGACTTTTCTGTAGATCCATGCCAAATTTAATGGTAATTCTTTAGGGTCCTACACATATGGGTGGATCAAGGTTCTATAGGATCATTTCTCTTTAAAAATACATATATATAAACATGAGCAGGAATACCTGAAAAAGGGTTAAATATTAATTTAGTAAAAGTTTAGGTGTATCTTGATAAAAGACCCGGTTTCTATGCAACCAAGCCCACATATGTAGAAATGCAGGCCTCTTAATAAATCTTTTTTTGAGATGGATTTTAAGACCTAATTTTTAAGGACATATAATCTCTAATATGGAGATCATGAATATGACAAAGTAAATAATTTTAAAACTAGAAACAACAATTCTAATAAAAAAACATTTGGGCCGTTAGTTCCAATTTTTTTTAGACATTAGTTCCAGTATTTTTAGACATAACACCTACTTGCATCCATATTTAAGTTTGATGCTTTACACTTTCTGACCGTATATGTAGAAATGCAGTCCAACCCGCATGAAACAATTTTTCTATGATAAATTCCCCTAGATTTTGAGATCTTATAAACTAGATCTAGCCACCTATAAAATGAATAGCATTCCATTATTGAATTCAAAAGAATCATTAAAAATTTTCATAGCATTCCATTATTGAATTCAAAATAATCATTAAAAATTTTCTTTGAACTTTAAAGAAACTATATTCACAGGCTTATTTTAGAGGCCAAAAAAATGTGTTTGTTTTGAGACAAGACCATTGCCGTTGAGGCCCACAAAATGGGGGGAGCGTGGACCAATATGACTGCTCTAATCCTCCAATATTTATAAAATTTCACACCACTAATATTATCATTGTTGTTCATTATTTTGCACAAATGTTGTCAATAGTTAAAGTGCTTGGATACGATTTTTAAATATGCCACTAAAGGAAATAATAACATTAAAGATTTTTGTTAAAAATAAGGCTGGAATTGAGAACAAAGTGGCCACAAGGCAACATTAATTTGAACATAGTTTTTGTAAAATTTTCAACATTTCTCTTTATTTTCTCACCCCATGGTCTAAGCAAAGTGATGATTTTAAACTTTTCTTAACCTGTCCCATGCTTGGCTGAAGGAACTGGGTTGTATTAAATATGCAGCCAACGTAAAACTTCACTAAAACCTATCATGAATCTTGAACCTACAGTTTATCCTCAATTTAAGCGCAATATTTGTCTTAAATTTTTCTTCCTCCTTTGATTTGGTTCTATTGTTTGTCCATGAGCTTATTCCAAGTTCCACTGGTCTAAAACCATAAACGTTCAAATAAACAATCATGTTAAAACTATTACAGAGAAATAGTATTTAATCTTTTGTCAATAACTTTATCAGATGTCTTTTCCGAGACATCCAATAAAATTGGAATGTCGCATCTTTATTAAATGGAAAAGTATTTGGTGAATCAAGCGACTCATATATCTACTCACCCTAAGTTTTGAACGATTTATGACCTGAATAGTACTTCAAATCATTGTAAATCCTCACTTTAGATTAATTACTTGTGCGCTCAAACACCATTACAAGTCCAATGATCTTTGAAGAATTAAAATGAATGCCCAAAATTATTTCATCTTCACATCTTTTATTTTTTCATATTCATGATTGTGATGGTGTAGATACATCAGCAAACATTTATATCGGAAATCCTACTCTCTCATGAATTTTGGGAGGGTTGAGTTACTTTAAGTGTTCCCAACCTTAAAGTAATTTCATCTTCACATCTTTTATTTTTTCATATTCATGATTGTGATGGTGTAGATACATCAGTAAACATTTATATCGGAAATCCTACTCTCTCATGAATTTTGGGAGGGTTGAGTTACTTTAAGTGTTCCCAACCTTAATCACACCCAATAATACCTAACAAACTTACCAGCCAAAAACATGCCAAATAGATTTATATAGAAGAGAAAAACAACTGCTTAACAATAAAATCTCTTCTTATAAATTTCAGACCCAAATTTGAATCGACTTTAAGACATTTGATCTTGTTCTGTTGAATGTGTTATAGCTACGAGCAAGAAGAGATGCAACGATACGTACTCCATTTGCTAGTCCTTTCTCATGTCTTTGTGATCCCATCTCTGAAGCAAGCATGTGTGAGAGAGTTAGAGAGAGGAATGATCACAATAGAGAATGTGGTGGATGTGTTCCAACTGGCTAGGCTCTGTGATGCGCCTAGGCTAGCATTGGTGAGCCACAGGATCGTGGTTGGCAGCTTCAAGGCGGTGTCGGCCACTGACGGGTGGAAGGTCATAAGGAAGAGCAACCCTAGGCTCGAGAAAGAGCTCATCGAGTCCGTGGTCGAGGCTGACTCTGTGAGGATCTCTCTCTCTCGCTCTCTTTCTTTCTCTCTCTCTCTCTCGATTTCAAGACATTTGTTTTTAGGTTCTGTCACGGTTGCAAAAAAAGGAACTGAAAATGTCTACTATGATAGTCAACATAAATAACCTCCTTGATATATTATGCAACAATTATAGTGACAGTACGTAAAAAGGATCTGTATTGAATAAATAATGGCCTTATACGAAAGAAAATACATACAAAGAGATTATTTATTTTTAATATAAAGTCACAATCATCTTTGTTTGTCAGATTTCAAATTGGGTAGTTGTAAGTTGCTAATGACTAGACTTAAAATTCAAAAAAAATTTCCGAACTTTGTGGCACACACCAAGCCATCCAAATTGACATTTAATGGCCAACAGCAATGGTAGCCTCCTTTTAACAAAGACAAATTGTCTCATAGTATACAATTCCTTGTACGAAATACTATTGCTGTCGTATAACAATGAATGGCCAATGAAGTTGGTTTTAAAAGATGGAAGTATCTGACTGGCTCAATTTATTATCTTTAAAAATGTTGACTCTTATAATAAATTGGCTAGATTTAAAACTAAATATCAGATTCTCGACAAATATATAATGCCTTTTTTCCAACATCAAGTCCATTGTTTTTCTTTTCAAATTACAACTGTTACATTGCTATTTTGAAAAGTTCAAACATTATTTAATTTTATTACTAGTATTTATGATAATAATGATGATGATCAATACTTATAATACGAGTCCATGATCAGTACTTATGATAAGAGCCCATCATGATTAAAGGCATTTTTGAAATGCAGAGGAAGCAGGTGAAATTGAAGAAGGCAGAGGAGAAAAGGATTTACATACAGCTATATGAGGCAATGGAGGCCCTCATCCACATATGTAGGGACGGCTGCCGAACAATCGGGCCCCACGACAAGGTTCTGAAGGCAGACGAGGCTCCATGCACATTCCCTGCATGCAAGGGCCTCGAGTCATTGCTGCGCCACTTTGCGGGGTGCAAGGCCAGGGTCCCTGGGGGTTGCGCGCACTGTCGGAGAATGTGGCAGTTGCTTGAGCTCCACTCTCGAATGTGCACTGAACCAGACCTTTGTAGGGTACCTCTTTGCCGGTAAGATGTTATTATATATATATATATATATTCTTTTTTTTTTCGTGTTTCCTTGTTGTAAAACAAGAGGGAATTATGGAATAAGAATTCAATTGTTTCATTTTTTTTTTTTTAATCTTTGAAATTATTCTGTACTAGCATTTGGGTTTCCTATAGTTTGCTAGCATCTCTTCACTTTCAAATGCACACATTTTTCTTCTTTTTGTTTCTTTCTCTAAAAAAAAAGAAAGAAAGAAGAAAAACACATTCTCATGGGCTTAATTGGTTAGTGCTTGACGATTTGAAGCGCTACATCCATCCTCAATTCCTACCGAGGCTAAGGGCAATAAAAATAAATAAAAAAAAGGTCTTTATTGAGGAATATGTCTTTCTTCTTCCTCTTGAAATATAAAACAAGAAACAAAGTAATAAGAGGAGGAGATGGAGAGGGAGAAAAGGAGAACAAAGAGGTTCATCTTTAAAGGACAATGCAGTTTTATGAAGCAATAGTTTCCAATTTGAGCATTGTTCTTCCCTTATTTTTTTATTTTATAATCTTCTAGACTTCTACTATAATAAATCATAGATTGCTGATATAAAATTGTGGTGGTGTCACAGGCATTTTAAGGAGAAGATGCAACACCTAAACAAGAAAGAGGAGGTGAAGTGGAAGGTATTAGTAAGCAAAGTTTTGGGTGCCAAGACCATCTCCTTCACTCCCTTCCCCTCATCTGTAGTCTCTGCATCAGCTTAGTGCCTCAATGTTCACACACATATCTTATTGTCTTGAGGTAGGGGGTCACCTTTGTGGAATATGGTCAAAATTGGTTTTTTTTTTTTTACATTTTTTTTTATTGGTGAAAATGGTTTTAATGGTGATGAAATTTCCATTGTATACCTCTGTTACTTTAGCTTCAAGAATATTTATTTATTTATTTATTTATTTATTTAATTTTTAAAGTGCGGTATTATTTGGCATGAGGCAACAATGCTAAGCGTTGGCAGGTTTCTTTCTAATTTATGTGCTATACCTTTAAATCAGAGCAAATTCCAGGCAAAATTTCAATTAAGGGGCCGTTGAGGGTTTACACAATGTAACAAATCCCTGTTTCCACATTTTACATTGCGATCATCGTCCCTTCGAAATTACGTACTTCAACATAGAGAAAGTTTTCATAGAGCTGAGGCTCTAAACAATTAAATTAGAGCCCACCTAAAAAATTTCACCAGAAGAGGTCGTTTTGATGCCTAAATATCTTCAAATTGATTATCTTGACATCAAGATGCATGAATATGAGAAGAAAATAGATGTAAAGTTTTGGAAATAATGCATCTTGTACATATTCTGGACCATTAGTTTTCAAGATTTTCAAGTTTTTATAGATTTGTTCGATCTAGATTATTTTGAAGCTTTAAATTTTATAATTAAAGATTAAAATATATTTTAAGGCTATCACAAATATTTTCAGTATTGAAACCATATTTTGGGATACTATTTGAAGGTGCACTTTGATCGTTAGAGCCTCGGCTCTATACAAACGGCACCCATTAACCACACACATTTTCAACGACAAATTAAGCCTCTGTTTGGAAGCAATGGCAATGCGTCGACGGCCACAATCCCCTTTTTGTAGACGGAGGTGTACGCAAATTGGCTCTTATTTCAAATGGAGCACAAAATACCGAGAATATTGGGATGGGGCATGGCAAACAACGCGCCAGCAATGGGTCGGGTGGTCCAGCCCAGCCCTAAAAGATGAGGACATCGACCATGAACCATGGAACAAGGGCCAGGGCTTTTCATACCGACCCGGCCTGGCTAGGGACTGGCCCGTTGCCACCTTTAACGCGGAAGCCGAAAACTTGCCACCCCAATTGTGCCAGAAACGCGTTCCCAAACAAAGCAGAAATCTTGGAGTTGGAGGGCGTTCTTGAAATTTTTTTTGACCAACAAGCAAATAGAAAAGGATTGGCGCCATTGCAGAGAGCAAAATACTCATTCAAAAACGCCGTGTTGAATAAAAATTTCTTATGCAAGATATTCGGTTGCAGAGAGCCTCCAAGGGGGGTTCTTTTTCATGCCAAAACATAATGGAGGTATTTATACATACAATCACTCCTGCATTCCCTTCACCTTCATGATCTTCAAATTTTAGATAAATTCAAGAAAAGGCTAACATTTCCAGAATCTCTTAACAAATTGAAGGAAATCTCTCTCTCTCTCTCTCTCTCTCTACATTTTTTGAACCTCTGGGAATCTTATGACATTTGATGTGCTCCTGCACAGAATTAGGGCATTGAATCTGCAAAATTAATCCATCCATGCGTGTGTGGCGCCGCTTTTTTTTTCCCTCTTTATGTGTCATGGAATGGAATTGCCTGGGTTTCCCTTGAAACTACACTAAGACTAAGACTAAGAACCTCACTTGCCAAGCTGAACTAGGGCATCACATCCCCAAAATAAGGAAGAAAGCATCAATTGTATGAGAAATAGCATAATTATTTCACAAATGTGCAAAATTATGGGAATTATATTTATTTCAACTATATGAAATTAACAAATCAATCATCTCCACTCCTTTTTTCTTGCTTGGCTTCTGATTGTGAGCTTTGAACAAGGCATGATCTCTAAAATCTCATCTTCTCGTTGGAACCATTCACTTGGTTCAAGGTATAATTTATATGGTTAACAGATTTCTCTCATTACAAAAAAGATCTGAAGTGTCACCCAAACAACTCTTATCCTTTTTCCCCGAGTAGCCACCATGTATTTGGCTGGCCCCTTCTTAAATTAATTGACAAACTTGCCTAAATGACAATCTTCATTGAATACCATCATTTGTAATAATGCCATGAAACAAGGTCTTCTGATCAAAATTTCTACCCCTTCTTTGGATATTTCAAGGGGAAGAACTATCTTCGTCTGAGCTCCCGTGCTTTCTCTCGCTGAATCTTGGAAAAACTGGCAATGAAGAACTTGCAGATATCCTAAACGATCGAGCTGCACCTGCTATCTTTGTATCTTGAATCTTTCCCACTTCTTTACACACTTGATCCAATATTGACATAAAATCTCTCACTATTACAAATATCCTAAATGGGTGGGCTACCTCCTTTGCTAAATTTCCATGGAAATACTCGGTAATCTCTTTTACCAATGAAAGAGCCACACTTTCCTCAGCTTTCACCCTAACAATAACATCCTCAGCCTCATGAAGAAAACCCAACATTGAATCCTCAAACTTCCTGTGAGTACGCGTTTTGTCCGAGTCCAAAACCAACCTTATCTTCTCCATACCTTGTTCGAGCTTCGACAAATAACTGCTCAATACGTCTGAGTCCATTCCAGCCGCCTTCTTCACATTGCTTAACTCATTACTGAGTCCAGCCACTACCTTTAACCCCTGTTTCTTAAATTCTTCCTCACTTTTCTGGGGTGTCTGAAATGGTAATTGGGAATTAGAGCATAGAGCTGGGCCTTCAGATCTAATGATTTCTTGGACGACAAAGTGGAGTAGGGTTGTCCTCCCATCCGTTCCCTTAACATCAGCAAGCTTTAGAAGTGTATCGAGCTTGAATGCTTCGGCATCGCCCCTGTTGGTGCCCACATTCATACGGTTCCCTGTTCTTAGAACAGCTTCTAATAATTTGAGGAATAGACGGCTGCTTCTCAATTCGTCGCAGGCTGCCTGTCCAATCACAAATGACAGTACGTGTATTGTTATGGGTTCGTAACTTCCTTACTTGGTTTAAAGGTTTTTGGAAAGGGAAAATATAATGAGGTCTTGTGGATTATGGGAAACCACAGTAGTGCGTTAGGGGGTTGTAAACTGGGAACCACCATTGGGATAATGTCTTTTTTCCGGTGGATCACACTCTATCCATTGGCCTTGATCATTTCATTGGATGGACATGATCCCAATGAACTTTGCTTTTCTAGTGTCCATTGGATTATTATACACTTTCCCTTCTGAAAATGGATTTGGGGTGCAGGGTACCTTAAAGGTCATCTAGCAAAGCTCTTTGGAAATAACACATGGCAAGAGAAATATATGAGATGTAGGAACAGGTTATTTCACTTGTGATATCAGAAGCCAACCTTTTGACCTATATGTTTCTTAACCTTGTAAAAATTTCCTCGTTGAATGGGATCTTGTAAAATCTTTTAGAGGTTGAGGCTTGTAGGATTAATCTTTCTGTTAGAGGCTTAAATTCACAGATGTAATGTGGGAATTCTTGAAAATTGGGAGAATACTTATATACAATAATCTGTAAGCAGATGTAGATTCATCAAGATGAACTTGTAGCCGTCTCCAAAATCCAGGCATTATAGATACCAAGGTTTTGGGTTTACCCTCATTTCTAAGCTACTCAACCTTCCTAGACAATTTGCAAATGGAAATGTTGTTTTGGAAAAGGAAGTATGGTTCAATCAGGTCGAGGGACACACTTTTGTTTTTGTTTTTGGCCTTTACATGATATAAATTTTTGTTGGGTTATCTCTTCACAAGCTTAAAAGGTACTGTTAGGGAAACCAAACTCCAAGAGTATGGTACTTGATTAAAGAATATTTGATAAGAGTTTCGAGTATCGATTCACAGGATCAATGATACCGTAAAATATGTCCATCTGTTGTTTGGACAACATAAAACTCATCATTAACCATGTAGGACCCACGGGGAAAGAATACTACAAGCAAAACATACTTGAAGGGTTCATCAGGATTACCTCTAGTGTTTCAAATGATTTCCGTAAGTACTTTACTTCTGCTTCAAAGTTGGCCCTGTAAAGCATTGCATCAACTCTTTTAAAAGCATAGGGAATATCTAGAAGTGCCTTGAGAAAACGCTCTGCAGATCCAAGTTTGGAGATGTCGCCATTGTACTCTTTCAGTCTCAATTCTTCCTCTTTGGTTGGAGCCATCTTCACCAAATTCTCCAGGAGTTCTACACCCAAACCCTCAGGGTTACCTGTTGCAAAACTCATTTGAGTAACAACACATACCAAACTCCTTATCACAGTGCAAACAGCAGGGTTTAGTTACAATTCATGTGATCAATGCTACCGGTAGATTGAAAATAAATGCCCTACTGCAGAGAACCATGTTGTGTGTATCATGTTCCTGAACCAATGGATCCATTGTATATTTTAGGAGCATCTATAGAAGATTGCATTTTTTTGTGCAATGTAGTCATTCATAGAAGATTTAACAAAATTCTTGAAGCTATCTAGTATGCAAAGAGCCAAGGGATTAAAACTTTGGGTGTGTTCGCACACACCCACACCCACACAAAAGCTAATGGCACATGCGTTGCATAATGCTCCAGATAAGAAATTGGATAGAAATAATTTTTGAAATAGTTAAGTGAAAAAAATTGTACTTTTCTCAGCCATTCGATATTTACTTTTATAGTAGTTTAATTTTATGGCTAGCCTTTTCTAAATTTTTTTAAACATTCTAAGATAAGCTTAATGCCACTATAGGAACTCCTATTGAGGTAGTAATAATTAATACATGAAGTCTTTTTCAAAAAAAAATTTATTAAATTTATTTTTTTGGGTAAGCAAAATAAAATTGTGGCTCCTAGTTTTCTCATATAGATGATTATTCAAAGAGTCAATATTTGCTTATACATGTAGTATTTTTACACAACACATCCCGTGTCGTGCTTGATGTTTGCCTGAACAGAGAGGGATCACCTTTAAAGTAGATATTGGAAATTTGTGGATATAAGTATGTTTGTTGTCAATAGTGCCCTCTGTTTACGCTATGAAATCAGTGGGTATTCATGCACCCACAGGCCTGAACTTAGAATGCTAAATAAATGCATATGTATAGAGGGTCTAATGTATATAAAATTTGCATAGAGGGTGTTGTATATATGCTCACTGCCACTTGCATACTGGTACCAAAGACTTAATTTTTTTTAAATTATAGCCATTCATAGCAACATCTATTTCTGGCACTGCATATGAAAAGCATATTTGAGTGCAAATATCCTTACGCACCTACATGGATTTTTTGTGGAGAGTGTTTTTCGTAGTTTCTTACATTCTCATTCCCTATATCTTTTCTTTAATGATCCTGGCCTATTCTGGAATATGTCACCAATATCAATCATACCTGGCAAGATATCTCTACACATTGTTTCCACATTTGTCCATTATTGTGAAGCATATTAGAATTAATACTCACTCAAGTTGACTTATTTTATCCTCATGTAAACTCATATATACCCATTCCACCAACAAAGCATGATAAGGTCAGTGACTCTATCAGTTACGTCAGATTTGGGCAATTTAAAATGGCTTGAACAATTGATGGATATGATTCCACCATCACCTATCTGTTTTTCTCCCTTTATTCAAAATTAAATCTTCATACCCTTCACAAATAATCCAACATGTCAACCACTCACGAGTCAAAACATATTGGCAGCTGCTACTACCATGTTGATGTCTATGGGTCCATTATGCAATCAATCTAAGATGCTAAACTAGTTACAAGAACAGCCTTAATACCAAATTTACCAGTAATATAAATGGCTGAACTTGAACACATTTGGCCATGGCCATATAGTATGGGTTCCAATTGGACAAGTGTTAGGAAATGGAGCATTGATTCAGTGACATCTTTTAGTTTTTGGCCAGGATGGCTTGTTCCTAGGGCCACAGAGGATCTAGAATGGTTTAAAATCTTGGTCACAAAAATGCATGCAGATGACTTCTTGGAATATCTGGATATCTCTGGATGGCTTTAAGAAGAAATGGATGTCCATCGATGGCCCCAACAAATTTCTTTTCTTAATTATGAGTTCGGGTGTTGTCGTTCATGTGAACTGGTGTCTTCAGTTAGTATGTGGAGGTTCTGGATGTTCTACACGTGATACATTTGATGGTTCTGAACCATGTTCTTACTGCACTTGTGCATGTGTGCGAGTCATGTTCTTATTATACTTGTGCATGTGTGCCAGTCTAGTGTTGTATGGATATTCTTTTTGCCTACACCATATGGTACAGGTCATTGTTTGAAAACCCGTATCGGTCAGGTGAACTAGCCGTCCGGAAAACTGCTTCAAATAGGTGAATGGCTGATCCAAATTGGCGATCCAGAAGGAAAATCAGCCAATAAAAAAATAAAAAAACTGAAAACAAAAACAAAAATTGAAAATAAATAAAAATAAAAAATGTGGGAACCGGCAAATTCCTAGTTCCGCCCAGGAACTAGACCAGTTCCCACCAATTCCCGGTTCAGATTGGCCGATTCCGATCCGTTTCGGTATTTTTTTAAACATTGGTTCAGATATTTAGAAATCCTTGGGGATACATGTTTAATTTCTCCTCTGTTTCTTATATATGAATTGGACTTGTGAAGACATTTTGATTTCATGGAAATCTTGATTTATGGATTGAAATTCAAATAACTAACACCATGCAGTTTTTGGCATTCTATATTTCATATCATATATTTAATTAACTTTATTATAAGCTTTTTTGTTATAATTTTTTATATTTTACCTTAATATTCTAAATGTATGAATTTTATTGGCATAAAATTTTAAATAAATTACAGCATAAACTTTAACATATCTTTATTACATCAATATGTCATGAATGAAGATCATATTTTTCATGCTTTTCGAGTTTTTTTACATTGTTTTTTATTCTGATTTATTCAGATTGTACCATATTCTTGTATACGGTTAATTGAAAACTTAATGCTTGATGTATGTGTTCACTTTCCACAACATTGCTGAATGTTTACATTAGATCCATCTCTATTCATCCCTCAGATACATTAGCCTAAGTTCCCTGATGTGGTTGTCCCTTGAGTATTATAAGACTGCCAGAGAAAAACTTGTTACATGGACAAGGGCAAAGCTTAATCTCAATTCGGAACTCTTAACATCAATAATATCGAACCAATGTTCAAAAGTTGGAATAAGGTCACGACTTGGACTCTGCCAAAACCAATTGTCATGGTTCCTGTAGTCAGTCCTTTTTCCCTATGAGAGCACTTTCATAATCCTTTGAATGTCTTGCGAACTCCACTGATTTTGACTTGGACTTTTCTCCCTATATATCCTTTTTCAGGATTGGGGGTTGTGCTTGATTGGTTAGGGCCCTCACAATAGCAACACCATCCCAAGTTTGAATCCAGCTGCTGAAATACCACCATCACTAATGAGGTGATGTGAGCAATCTGAGTAAAGAATCCACTATCGCTCATAGGGAATATCCAGATTGACATCATTTGGCAAACATAGTTGTTCTAGTCATCAAAGATAGATTTTGAAACCACTCTCTAGCCGATCAAGAGAAGTTTTATGGGTTA